AACAATGTCACTTTGAGAACTAAGGTGCACCTGAAAGTAAGGTGCATGTGAAAGTTGGGCATTGAATAAGGAAGATGGAGGAAGAATCAATGAATTTCAACTATGGTGCTGGCAAAGAATACTGAATGTTCCTGAAGTGTCAAAAGAACAAACAATTCTGTCTTGGGGGAAGTATGGCCAGAATGCTCCTTTTAGGCAAAGATGGTGAAAATACTTTTCACATCCCCTGGGCATGTTCTCAAGACAGACCAGTCTCTGGAGAAGGACATAATGCTGGTAAAGTATAGGGGCACCAAAAAGAGCTAGGTCCTTGGCAAGGTGGATAGGTACAGTGGCTACAGAAATGGGCTCCCACATCACAGCAGTTGTGAGGATGGCGCAGGACCAGACTTTCTAGCATTCTGATGTACTGGGTGGAACCCAAATCCATAGCACTGAACAAGAGCCTACTTCCGCAGACTTGCCTGCCTCAGCGAATCTGTGAATGGTTTATTGCTGTGCTTTGACAGCTTTTATGGTATTTATTTATTTATTTCAAATGACCTTGGTTTTCAAATTGTTTTCCTTTCAAATTAAAAAAAAATGACAATTTTTTAAAGTCTTAGTGAAATTCATCAAGGATTTCTAGGTCCTACACCCTGTCTTCTTCACACAACAGAGTAGGCAAAGCAATTCTTTAATTACTGCAAACCCAGTGCTTCTCACCAGCCTCATGTCAAGAGATACGCTTTGGGTTTGGGGTTCCTGTTTTTGTCTTTGTTTTCTGTCTAGGCTGCACCTCCTCTTCCTTTTCCATCTATCAATTTCCAAGTCAAGTTTTATCTTCATAGGTTCTCCGGGCTCAATCCCATGGCTTTTCCTTCGTGCTCAACATAATAGACTCATAGTTCCTTGGTAAATCCATTTTAAACAATGCATGGAGCATTCCAACAATTCTATTCCAATAAGAAGTACTCCTCTCACCTTCCTAATTCCAATTCCAGGAATATTGGTAGCTATGTATATGTCTTACACCTTTCTGGCGACTTATAATTTACTACAATTCTTTACATTACTGCCCACCATCATATCAAATAACATAAGAAACAATAATCATAACAAACTTGGGGCTTCAGATTAAATACTGTTATTAGCCCTTTATTAAACTTATAGTACTCTGATTATTTGAGCGTAGGTAATATTGCCATTAAATAAGGTTCACAATATATTCTCAAATCAGAAATGAGTGCAGCTAAATTCTCTGTAACTATGATCTACACATATAACCTGTGACTATTAAATTATTGGAAGGGAAAACTGATGCATGCATATGTGTAATATCCTACATTTCAAAAGATAGCAACGCACATCTCGGTGTTAATTGAAAAGGAAAATAT